GAAACTCCGTGGGGTGGCCTCATTATACAGAAACCATTTATAGGCATGCCTCTTTGCATGAAAATTCCATATGTTACCCCACTGCTGTATACCTTGTTGTATGGAAATGTCATATGCGTAAGCTCCAATAGATGGAAATTCTGTAGGGTAACTCTCATTTTATGGAAATGTCTTACAGGCATCCCTCCTTGTATGGAAATTCTGTGGGTGCCCCATTTGGGTATTCTTATTAAATAGAAATGCCACACCTGTGCGCTCTGTTATATGGAAATTCTCGTGTTGTACGAAACTCCCTTATGGTTATCCCTCCTGACACGGAAATGTCAAAGGATGCCTTATGCAGATGCCTCTCATTCTGTGGAAACGTCATGTGGGTTTCTCATGGGATATAGGAACTCCACGTGGGTGCCCTTAGATGGAATGGCCACAAAGGTGGTCTGATCTGGGAGCTAGCTGGAGGGACAGCAAGAGGTCACACGGTCCCTGACCCCCTCCTCCCTGCCCCTGCAGATTCGCGCAGAGGACCGCCTCCTACGCACAGAGCAGGGCTTGCTGCTTCGTGCCCTGCAGCTTGGTGATCGGGGCCTCTACTCCTGCACAGCCACGGAGAACAACTTCAAGCACGTTGTCACACGGGTGCGGCTGCACGTGCTGGGCCAGGATGCCGTCCATGCTGCTCTCTTCCCACCGCCAGCCGCGAGCGCTCCACCGCCCCCAGGCGCAGGCCTCCCTACACCTCCCTACCAAGAGCTGGCCCAACTGTTGGCCCAGCCAGAAGTGGGCCTCATCCACCAGTACTGCCAGGGTTACTGGCGCCATGTGCCCCCCAGCCCAAGGGAGGCCCCAGGGGCACCCAGGCCTCCTGAGCTCCAGGACCAGAAAAAGCCCCGGAACCGCCGCCACCACCCACCGGACACATGAGGCCAGCCACCCGAGCCCTGCAATGGGCCAGCCTAGTCCTCATCCCTTTTAATATAAAAGATATATATATATATATATATATAAAAAAAAAAAATATCTATATTCTATACACATCCTACCCCGCAAAGACAGTATTTATTGGTGGGTTGTATATAGCTTGCCTCAGTGGCAGCGTTGTCCAGAACCTGGACCCGTGCTGATCAGAGACAGCAGAACACAGAGCCCGCCTCACCAGGCCCAGCCAGTGGAGAGGACTGGGCCAGGACCATGACGTCCTCAGACTCAGGTGGGAGTCTACCTGCTCGGCAGACACCGCCAGGATCTGCAGGACACGGGAGGGAAGAAGCCCGGCCTGGACGGGGCATGGACTGCACGCCTGTGCTTATGTGTGTGGTCAAGCCCTGCTGTGGCACAGACATGGATTCGAGGACTGCTTCAGAGACCGGGGGTGGGAGGGGTGGGCTCAGGTGCACTCAGAGGAGGGAACAAGGGGCCATCACAGGATGCCGGCCCCTGCCTGGGAGGAGGGCACTCAGCCCCAGGGCAGCCTCTTCCTGGGTATTTATTCTCTATTTATTGGGGACAGGAGGAGAGGAGTCCCGCCTGGGTGGGGCAGCACCTCCAGCCCCTCGTCCCTTCCCTGCCTGGTCAGGACAGGGCTGCCCCATCTCCTCTTCACTTTTCCTGTGCCACCCTGATTTGGGGCTGGGGGAATAGCAGAGGGGCCAGGCACAGGCAGGGCTGAGGGGAGCACCCCAGCTCTGATGGCAGGGGTGTCATGGTGGTGGCCTGGGGCCTGCAAGGGCCTCTCCAGGGCTCTCCCTCTGCCTACCACTCCAGGCAATGGGTGTAAATAGCTCTGGGGGGTGGTTGGGTAGGTGGGTGGGGGCTCCTGGAGCCCTCTGCTGACTGGGCAGTGGCGCCCTGGGGTTCCATCTTGCTAATAAACACTGGCTCTGGGACTGGACTCCGGCTTCTCTCCTTGGGGGATAGGGAGGTGATGGCTCAGCCTATGTCTCAGATTCTGCCCCTCCAGTTCCTGCCACCCCCCAACATGGCCCCACCACCAGCTCGCAGACTTTATTTGCCTCAGTTTCTGTTAGTTCATTCAGTAGTTCAATCATTTGTTCTACCACTGCTTTCTCATGCAGCTTTGTGCCCAGCCTTGTGCAGGGCACTAAGAACTCGGAATTGGCAAGACAAAGCAGAAGCCCTCCTAGTCCTCCAATTGCCCCAGCCAAAGACTGATTAAATCCCTTCCCTGTCCTTCCAGCCCCCTCCCGCAAGGACCCAGCATGAGCAAATACCCAGAGGTGGGAGTTGCTGGAGAGGGGGAGGTGGGGCTGGGAAGGCCCACGGACCAGCAGAGTTTAGGGCCACACCTGGCACACAAGAGGAGCCAGGTGGTCCCGCCGGCCCCGGCCACCAGCAGAAGACAGTGGGTTGGCCCCCACTTTAAGCAAACCCAATATGCAGAAACCAGGTTTTGGTTGGCTGCCTAAGCCCTGTACCCTGGGCAGTGTAAGGGACTGGAAGACCCCCACCCCGACCCCCACTGGCCCACTCACAGTGTAGGAGTGGGGAGGGTGAATGGAAATCGATCGAAGCCTGAAAGCGACACAAATGATAGAATCTCTCTCCCAGACGGATCCCCTGTCACTGAACAAGGTGCCAGCTAGCCCGTGGTAGGAGCCAGTATCCACTTCTCACATGATCCCCTATGGCCAGCCAGCCTTCAGTGCTCCATGTCTGGGGCCCTGGCACCCCCTCGTGGTCTCTCAGGTCTGCTGCAGAGTTGAGTGATAAAAAGCAGCCAGGTTTCTGGGGAGGGAGTCCAGCCAGAAGTCCCAAGGGCCCCTGGAGAGGGCCTTAAGAGCCCAGAACTTGGGTCTTACGTTGGGGGGGGCGGTGGTCTCCAGAGCCTAGGAGCTCAACATTGCATGCTCAACCCAAATCACTCCTGCACAACGGTGCGCCCTGTCCCACCTGAATAACACACCTGGACGCCAGACTCCTTGGGTGAGTTACCCCCAGGCAGGTTCCAGAGGACACATGGGACGGAGCAGGGCGGGCAAACCCCATTCCTCCATGCCCCTAAGAATGCCTGATCTGCTCTAGGACTCAGTTTTCCCACCTGACAACGGGCCTGCAAAATATTCTCTGGAAGAGCCCAGCCACCTCTGCGGGTCAGAGATATTGTTGCACCCAAGTACATGTGTACACATAGGCACAGGCATGTGTAAGTATGCATGCACACACACACACATGCACAAATGTCCATGCTTGCACAGGCACACACAGGCATATGTGCATGCACAAACATTCGCACACCCATCTGTAAGTGTACACTCATGCACACACGTATTGCACACACATGCTTATGCACACACATGAACCTATACCAGCCTGTGCAAAGTATGCAAACAAGCGTATATGCCTACGAAGAGAAATGCACTGAAGCATATGCCCACACATACATTCACACACACACACATGCACACATTACATAAGCACACATCCACAGGCACACGCACACACCCAAACATACAGGATAGGCACATGTGTACACAACAGGCATACACCCACAAACATGTCAAGTCATTGCCTTGTTTGATGCCAGTGAAGAACAGACACACAGGAGACGTGCATGTCCACCATCCTTCCACCAGGAAGCATTAGAGTCCCTGCCCGGGTCAGACCTAGCCCTCAGCATTGGGCAGATGCAGTGCCCATATTTTTCCTCTCGAACTCCTGCAGAATATGGAACCCTGGCCTAGAGTCTCCCAGCCCAGCTCAACCACCTCCTGCTCTCTGACACGCCGCACCTCCACTTCCTCATCAAGACAATGGGGCTTATGGTATGAGCATCTGTTCCCCCAGGGTTGGTGTGAACTTACAGCACGACAAAAAGCAGGCTGAGCCCTATGCTGCACAGGCCACAGGTGCTCCATGCTTCTCCCTCTTCACCGTTGTGATGGTTAATGTTATGTGTCAACTTGGCTAGGTCAGTATTACATAATTATCCTCCATTTTGTGATCTGATGTAATTATTCTCGATTTTGTGATCTGATGTAATTATCCTCTGTTTCGCGATCTCCCATAAGTAATATAATATAATCACTTCCATGATGTGATTTGATGTGATCAGCCAATCAGTTGTAAGGGAGTTTCCTTGGGGATGTGGCCT